CAGTGAAGCAACGTCCTCCACAACTAGACTGAAGAACAAAACGACAGCAACTTGTCTGTTCCCCTTCCCCCAATTCCCCAGCGCTGTTCCTATCCCCCCAATTCCCCAATAAAAAATTTTTTTAAATCTTAAATAAAAATCAGATAATTATATCAATAGATGCAGAAAAAGCACCCGACAAGATACAACAGGTATTTATAATTAAAAAATTATAAAATAGGTATAAGAGAAAAATACCTTAACATAATGTAGGCCATATATGCTAAACTCTCAGCTAATATCATAATTAATGGTGAAAAACTGAAGTTCTATGCTCTATATTCAGGAACAAGACAGGGTTGTCTCCTATCACCACTGCTTTTCAACACAGTATTGGAAGTCCTCACCAGAGCAATCAGTCAAGAGAAAGAAATAAAACGCATCTGAATTGGGAATGAAGTTAAATTGTAACATTTTGTAGATTACATGATTCTTCATATAGAAAACTGTAAAGAATCCACCAAAAAGCTACTAGAAACAATAAACAAATATAGTAAAGTTGCCGGCTACAAAATCAACATACAAAAATCCACTGCATTCCTATATACTAACAATGAAATTTCAGAAAAACAAATAAAAAACACAATTTCTTTTGCAATTGCAACAAAAAGAATCAAATACCTATGAATAAACTTAACCAAGGATGTGAAGGACCTATACGCTAAAAACTATAAGATACTTTTAAAAGAAATTGAAGACACAAAGAAATGAAAAGACACTCCATGCTCATGGATTGAAGAATCAACATACTTAAATTGGCCATATTACCCAAAGCAATATACAGATTTAATGCAATACCCATCAAAACCCCAATGGCATTTTTAAAGAAATAGAACAAAAAAATCATCACATTTATATGGAACCACAAAAGACCCCGAATACCCAAAGCACTACTAAGAAAAAAGAACAAGGCTGGAGATATCACGCTACCTGACTTCAGCTTGTACTACAGAGCAACAATAATCAAAACAGCATGGTATTGGCAGAAAAACAGACACACAGACCAATGGTATTGAATTCAAACCCAGAAATAAACCCACATAAATATGGACAGATAATTTTAGACAAAGGAGCCAAAAACATACAATGAAAAAAGCCTCTTCAATAAATGGTGCTGGGAAAATTCAAAAACCACGTGCAAAAGAATGAAACTAGACTGCTATCTGTCACCATGTACCAAAATGAACTTAAAATGGATCAAACACCAAAATATAAGACCTGAAACAACAAACTGCACAGAAGCAAGCATAGGTACTTAACTTAAGGATGTTGGGTTCAAAGAGGATTTTATGAATTTTACCTCAAAGGCAAGGGAAGTAAAAGCTAAAATAAATGAATGGGACTATATCAAACTAAAAAACTTCTGCACAGCAAAAGGAACCCTCAACAAAACAAAGAGGCAACTAGCTGAATGGGAGAATATACTTACAAACAATGCCTCTGATAAAGGGCTAATATCCAAAATATATAAGGAAGTTATAAAACTCAACAACAAAAAGACAATTAAAAATGGGCAGAGGACATGAACAGTAACTTCTGCCAAGAAGACTTATAAACGGTCAACAGATACATGAAAAAATGCTAAACTTGGCTAGGTATTAGGGAAATAAAAATCAAAATCACAATGAAATATCACCTCACACCAGTGAGAATGGCTATCATCAACAAGACTAATAAGAACAAGTGTTGGAGAGGCTGTGGAGAAAAATGAACCCTCTTACACTGTTGGTGAGAATATAAATTGGTACAGCTATTATAGAAGTCAGTGTGGAGGTTCCTCAAAAATTAAGAATACAATTACTGTATGACCCAGCAATCCCTCTCCTCTGTATATACCCAAAAAATCTGAAAACATTTATCCATAAAGATATATGAGTATGTACCTCGATGTTCACTGCAGCTTTATTTACGGTGGCCAAGACATAGAAACAACCAAAGTGTCCTTCCATAGATGATTGGATAAAGAAGATGTGGTGTATATACACAATGGAATATTATTCTGCCATAAGAAAGATGAAATACTGCCATTGTGACAACATGGATGGATTTGAGATTGTCAGGCTAAGTGAAATAAGTCAGACAGAAAAAGTTGAGAACCATATGACTTCACTCATATGTGGAATATAAACCTGAAAGCAACAAAGAAACACAACAAACAAAAACTCATAGGGACCGCTGAGTGGCTCAGTTGGTTAAGAGCTCGCTCAAAGGTTTGAGCTCTGAGCAACAGCGGTTTGAGTCCGGCCCGAGCTGAGCAGCCGCTGAGCTGCCAACGGGTGGTAGGATGGCCCAGCTAAAAACAAAAAACAAACAAAAAAAACCTCATAGACACAGAAAATAGTTCAGTGGTTATCAGAGAGCAAGGGGGGAGGGGATCTGGTAGAAGAGGGTAAAGGGGGTCAAATATATGGTGATGGAAGAAGAACTGACTATGGGTGGTGAACACATAATACAATATATAGATGACATATTATAGAACTGTACATTTGAAATCTATGTAGTTTTTTTTACTATTGTCACCCCAAGAAATTTTATATATAAAAAAAGTCTTAATTCAACTCCTGTGTTTGAGTTTCTGCAAAATAGTATTGACCAAGTATATATTTAGCATTAAGTCTATTTTTATTGCAGAACAAGTAGAGGCAAATTTCTATATCATTTTAGGGTTATTACTGGAAATTTCTTAACTAAATCACCTACTTGAAATCTACAAAGATATATTTTACCTTCAATTGTCTTTACATTCTACAAGAAAATAGTTTGCTTTTATCTTTTCACCAATGTCAGCCTTTAAAGAAGTATTTTCTGACGCTGACACAGACATGAAACACGAAATCTCAAAAATAAATTTGGAGGTCCAATTTGGTAAATTTGTGGATCACAGAATCTGCATATATCGACATGCCACCTTTACTCTGATATTCATCTCTATTTCTACGAATTCTCTGAATGCATCTGATCCATGTATTTCTACTTTTCCATGTTAATATACACTTAAGCCTTTATAATTTCCATTGTAAAATAAACAGGGTATTAATAACTGAACTCACCTGAGCTATGTTCATTTTCTGTTGCTCCGGGAAGAAGGTTAAAAAAATGAAGGTTTCACTAGGGAGAAGGAAAGAGGAATGGGGTCATGAGAAACCTGGTCCTCTTCACAACTTTTATAGTCACCTGCCTACAAGTCTCCTAACACCAACTGGAGAAAAAGCCTCCCTGTGGGACCACATCCCTCTGACATTCTCGAGAAGGAACAGGAAGAAGCACACAGAGGCAGCACCACCTGATCATATGCATCTCTGATATGAGTATTGGGGATTCACCTTGCATTTTCGCCTAGTGAGGTAAACTTTTTATCAAGGAATTCACAATTGATGCCCCCTCTGAATAATCAATACAAAAAATATGTAAGTAAAACAGAGGATTGGTTAAACAAATTCAGGTCCGTCACAGGTCCCCCTACCTTCATTAAAACTAAGGTCAAAACACGACTCTGGCTGGATTGTTCATCAAGTTCGTACTGTCTTTACAACTTGAGTTAGAGTTTCCCCAGAAAACTGAAATAAAGATGGGATACTTCATGCAAGAAGTATATTGTTTAACTTTCTGTTCTAAATTGCTTGCAGTTTCTAAGAAACATCTGTTGATAAGATGTTTATAGAACTTACCTGTGAGGTTAAACAGCCCTGTGTTGATTGTTTGGTTCTGCCCGCGGTGACTCTACAACAATCATTCATTTTGGGCTCAATATTTTTGGGCTTCCATATGTGTCCAATACAGAAAACCCTTCTTCTACTCTCATTCTGTTAACTCCATGTTCAGAAAACAGGGAGCACAAGTGTAACTCTAGATACCACATGAGGTGATGGAGATGGTGTGAAAGCAGCTTAGAATCTGGAAAGGGTGAGGGCAGAACAAAGGAAACAAGGTGCTGTTTAGGGTTTCGTCAGCTCTGGCTGCTTATACCTTCCCTGGACATCAGTCCTCACCAGCCATCCAGTCAAGTGCCTTTTCCTGTGCAGCAAGTTGGTCCACAGTACTGACCATCACACAGTCTGTGATGGTTTCTGGTGGTGGTGACATCCCCGAGTCTGACTCAGGCTATCCCAGGATCAAGAACTGCTTCTGATGGAGCAAATCAGGACCTGCTCCTTCTAGACACTTCTGCCTCTACTCTAAAGCTCTGGTGAGGACTCTGTCAGAAGAGCTGTTCCCCCAAGTGGCAGTTGTTCCTGGGGCTCCTCCCTCTTTCCTGAGTTAAGTTCCTTTGCGCCAGAAGGGCTGGGACCTGAGACTGAGAAACAAATTCACTTCAACTGAAACCTTCATGTAACACTCTAAACCTGACCCTTTGGACTTCACGAGAAATGGACTATCCAGCACTATATCCATTACCTGCATGCAGCTGCTCCATCGGAAGGGTGGCTGCTGCCACGAGTCAAAATAGTATTTTGAACGTAGTGAATTAAATGCACCAGCAAAATTAGCTTCACCTCCTTTTCTTTTTACTGTTGCTACTGAACATTTTAATTATATTTTTATATTATATTTGCATTACCTTCCTACCGGCCAGCACTGCATTAGTTTGTCAGACTGGGCCTTTGCGGATGGAGACAGCCTGGACAGTGCAGGAAGGTG